TATTTATGAGGAATGGCAAGGAACATTGGCCTTCAATTTGCAAAAGTAATATGAGTCTTCCTTTTCAAAATACTTTAAAGTAAAATTTGTGTTGCTCTAAAGAAAACTATTATGTAAATCCTAATGCCACTGCTGTGTGAACATGGTATTATCAAGGGCTAGCCTTGTGCCAAAAACTGCTAAGTATTTCCCCTGAATTTATATACTGACCCTCCTGCCAGTGGGAGGTGCAGATGAGGACATGGAGAGGCAGGGAGAATGTGGACCTTGCCCAAGGTCACCCGTTGACTGGACATGGGAGTTGGGAATTTGGCATCCAGCCCCCCGTAGGGCCCAGCATCGGAGGGACTAAAGCAAGCAGCACAAGGAGGGGTGAGCCTTAAGCCTTGCTTCTCCCTTGGTAGCACCCTGCTAGACAGGCTGCAGGCTTCTCTCTCCATCTAGCTTTGGGGGCAAAGCCCTCTGCCCCCCTCACCCTCACCTGTCCGGTCCTTCAGGGACCCTACATGAGATGATTGGATTTCTCTCCTTGTTGGTTTGCAATGAAAAACATCACATGCTCAGGAAAGCAGGGAAGAGGGCTGCACCCCATCCAGTGACTGCATCCCAGAGCTGGGAAGCTCTAGAGGCCCCCCAGCCAGGCAGCTCAGCTAGAATCCTTCCACCCACCCTGTGCCCCCTCCACCCTCACAGAGCTGATCTGATGGTCACATGGGTGCCAGCAGGTGGTGAGGCCTGTGACCACCCTGTCTCTCTCCTCTCTCTGGACCACGGGCACCTCGGCCCAGTCAGGAGCTGAACTTACCTACAACCCTGCATCAGAATCACCTGGGGGCTTTGTAAGAGGCAGGTTCTGGGCCACACCCCTCAGCACATCTGAGTCTATGGTGAGGCCTGGGGATCTGCATCTGAAACAAGTCTGTAGGTGATGCTAACTATCATATCCCAAGAACAGAGGTGTGGTCAAGACTGGGCTTGGCCTCAGTCCGAATCCTAGCTCCACCCACTGCTCACTTAGGGGCTGAGGGGTGGGGATCCTCGGGAGGGTTATATATGCCCTCCAGGGTGCTCAGCCCTGGAGCCTCAGACAACAGAATCAGCCTGCAGTGCGGGAGACCTGGGTTTGATCCCTGGGTCGGGAAGATCCCCTGGAGAAGGAAATGGCAACCCACTGCAGTACTCTTGCCTGGAGAATCCCATGGACAGAGGAACCTGTGGTCTACAGTCCATAGCGTCGCAGAGTCAGGCAGGACTGAAGCGACTCACACACACAGTGTGCTCAGCGGTGAAATAAGGACACTGATGGTCCCGAGGTCATAAAGTCCTGGTGACAAATGACACTGAGCGCTTAGCACAGTAAGAGGCACACAGCACCCTCAGCAAACCTCTCCTGTCCTGACACGAGACCTGTAACAAGGCCTCGGCTTAAAGAGCGAGAGAAGCAGCTGTATTTCTTCTCCAGCAGAAGTGGGGCGGGTGGTGATACTGGTCATAAAAGCCCAGCACTACCCCCAGCCAGGGGTTCTGGGTGCCTGGACATGGTGATTGCTCTGGCTGAGCCCACTGCACTGGTTCAAGGGGCAGCATCTGAGGAGGAGGTGCAGGAGTTGGAGCATCCTCCCCCCACGCCCCCTGTCCGTCTCCCTCACCCACTGCACCAAGCGTGATCTCTCCAAGGCTCCAGGCAGCAGGAGGGACCCAGATCATTACCCCTCATTGGAGATGAGGAACAAGGCTCTAGAGGCTAAGTGAGCCATCCAAGGTCACAGACCTGCAAAGCAGAGCAGAGTCTGCAAACAAACAGGCTTCCTTCAGGGCCCAGCCGTCCAGCGTGTGGGGCCTTCTCTGCCCTCACGGTCGGGCATCCCTGGGCAGAGGCTCTGACCACCACAGCAGGGCTTTTCCCTCACCTCAGAGATCTGGAGTCCTTGGTTAGAAAGCCTGGCTCTCTGCCTCTGCTAAACGGCCCAGGGAGAGTCCCAGGGCTGGCAACACTGCTTAGCTCTGTCTCGGGCTTGGTGTTTCTTCTGGGGAGACGGAGCTGTGGACCCCACTTGCAGGCTAGCTGGTGGGTGGGGAGAAGTAGTGTGTACAGCAAAGGGCTTGGAACTTGTGGAAGGAAGAGCCCAAGAGGCCGCTGGTGCTGGGAGATGGAGCAGCAACAGGCGGTGGGGCCAGGAGCTCCTTGCCAGACGGCCCCAACCGGGGGGCTGAAAAAGCCCCACAGGGGACAGTGGTTGTTTCCAGCCTCACAGAGGCAGCAGAAGCCTGGTGTGAACCCAGCTGTGGCTCACGAGGCAGTCAGGCCACAAATCCAACCAGACATGGAAACACAGGGCTCGGAGGATTAGCCCTGGGGATTAGCGGAAACCTCCACCGAAATCTGCCCTCAAGGTGGCCCAGTCTGGGGGGTCCCGTCATGTTGCAGGCAGGGTGGTGGGTCAGGGAGCAGAGGAGGAAGGGCCCACCCTGTTCAGCAAACCTCCAGCTAGGACGCCCACTAGGCCAAGGCAGCCCTCGGCCTCACTTGGGCCCATCGCAGTCTGTATCTGGCCACCTCCACCCGCTCAGAACACACCTGCAGCACGATTTCTTGGTGGCGAGGGTTTACCAAAGGACCTCATACAGGAGGCAGAGATGGCTTGTATTACTAGCAGCTCCAAAGGCTGCACAACCCCAGGAGGCGCCTTCTCTCAGCACACTGCCTCTCCGAGGCAGATTTTCAGAACCTGGACCTTGAGAAATGAGGCAGGACATTAGTTAGCAATCTGCCTGGAGCCCAAGGAGCACAGGGAAGGTGGGTTGAGGAAAGGAGGGTCAAGAGGGGCCCCTGGGACCCCGGCCCACTTCAACCACAGCAGCTCTACTGGGTCTGTGTCTTGGGTGTTGAGCTCAAGCAGCAAACAGCACTTCTTACTTGAACAACTCACTTTTTTCAAATCCCCACTTCTTCCCTTAAGCTGCTAAGTCCCTGGAGAACGGGGTGGGGGTGGGGGTGGCATCCCCCAGGGGCTGATGCCCGGGGCTCCTCCCAACCCCCAACCCAGCGCTTGCCCCCCTCTGCCTCCTTCTAGTCGGGAGCAGGGAGGAGGGCCCTGCTTCTCTCAAGTATCCTCAATTCTCCAAGGCTGCAGGCTTTGGGAATGGAAACTGAATTACAGAAAGACACAGTTCTCAGTCCTCCTGAATTTATGGACTCAGATTCATAGCCCTTCAAGGAATTTTATACGTTACAGTTCACTTAAGATTTATTTCTTCAGAGAGCTTTGCAAGGCAAGAAGGCAGGGAAAGCTCAGCAAGAAAGCAGCACTGACGGAGTTGTGGGGAAGCTGCAGGGGCCGTCCCTCCCCCAGGGCTGCTGGGCTGGAGCCACTGGGGGCTGGGGGGCGGGTGGGGGATGTGGTGAGCAGAAGGAGGTGCCCCAGGAGACAGCCGGGAGAGCAGCCAGGCCTGGGTAGCCCCTCCCCTGCCCAGGCCCCAGAGGAGCCACTGGGAGCTAGATTCCTCCTTCCCAGTCTATGGAAATAAAGACACAGAAGACTTTGAGAAGGAAGTCCTGTTTGAACAGCATAAAGTTCCCCTGGGAAAGTCTGTGACAAAGCCACCAGCTCCCTCCAGGGCACAGGGTCGGGGGGAGAGGCTCTGTCCCCCGTAGCACACAGGCTCTCAGCAGGGACAGGAACATCTCCACCTCTCCCCGAGTCTCCCCCACATACACCCCAAGCCGGGCTGCCCCGGCCCGGGCTTTCAGGAAGCACCTCCCAAACCTGCCTTCCTCCCCCAAACCACCAGACCCAGGAGGAGGACCCTAAATAAAGGGTGACAAGTCTGGTCCCAGGCGTGGGGAGCCCTCAAGCTCACCCAGCCTCTCTCTGACCTTTGATGATCAGCCCACTGCAGGCCCAGAGCCCTCAGGCATCCGGTGCCACCCCTGCCCCCCAGCAGGGCCTCCACACAGACCCAGGGCTCAACCGGCCACAGCTCAAGACCGCGACTCACCAAAAGCAGGGCATCCTCACCCTATGTGCCCCGAGTGCCTGGTGCCAAGGCCTCTGCTTTCTGAGGCGAGTGTCCCAAGGTTAGAGGCTGTGAGAGCCTTGGCAGGCTGAGGGAGGCTGAGCAGCCTCTGGTCCGAGCCCCCGGGCCAGGGAGACCTGCACCCCAGCTGTCCTGACACAGCCCATAGCCTCACTGGCTGTTCTTGTCAGAGGACCTGCCCCAGCCCACTCCACCCCCAATAGGCTAGCATCTAAGAGTGAGCCAGTTATCCAAGCATCAGTCAAGGGACCCAACTCCAGGCTTTACCTGGCCCACTGCCCCTGCTCTCAGAGGCTGCAGGGAAAAGGTTAGAAACCACCCTCCAAGGTCAAATGCCCCCCTCTGCCCATTTCACCAGCCCCAACCACTCCCAAACCACCTTCACCATGTCTTCCAGATCTACATGCAGCCGTACTACGCATGTCTTTATGTGGACACACTTTTACTTAAATTTCTTTATTGAAAACGCCACCACAATAAGTAGAATACCAGTACCACGTGTCATAAATAAAAGGTAGCCAATAAAAATATACCAGTAAAATGGAACGGAGCTATAAAAGTTTGGAAACTTTTCCCACTAAGCCCCAGGCCTGCTCCTTAGTAACGGGGAAGCCAGCCCATGTTCTGGGCATGAAAAGACATTGGCACCTAGCGGACACTTTCTTCTTGGCATAAAAGGATTGGAAGAGAATTGGAAAGAGAATCCCTCTCTTGCTGTGACTTTGTGCTTAATGTCTGACACAAGCTAAACGCGTCTCAAGGGAATGAAGTGGGGATCACCCGATCCTTTGGGAATGTTGGACTAGAGGCTCCCTCTGCCTCTTGCTTAACACAATGTGCACACAGGCTCTCTGAGCACACCCTCACGGCACCGGTGTGGAGCTCCTCCCCACGTGCCTGCTCTCACACCGAAGCCCCGCAGCTCCCCCTCCCACACACCTGCCCCCAGCAGCCCCCGGAGGTCACCGCTGACTCAGGTGGGACACCAGGTAGATGAGGCCCACCAGCAGGAGTCCGCGCACGCCGAGCATCATGAGCAGGAAGAGGAGCAGGATGGAGGTCACCGGCTCCACGGCGTGGTTGCCCAGATGCCACTGTGGGAAGCCCATGTTGACCAGCTGCCGGTTGAGGTCATTGAAGGGGGACTGAGCGGCACCCAGCCTGGCACCTGCCTGCTGCTGGCGGGGGCCGGGACCCCCCAGGGAGGCACCATGGCCCCTATTGAGAAAGCTCTGCAAGGTGAAGACAGAGAGAGACGAATGAATCCAGAGAAAGCTTCCCTGGAGTTGAGGCAATAGAGGCAGGAGGATGCCTGCCCTCCCCTAAGACCACCTGGGGCCACACCCTCTTTTCTCAGCAATTAAATGCTACCCATGCAAAGCCCAACCACTGAGTCACAAGCTCTCAGAGCATAGGAAATGCCAGTCCATGATCCCTACGTCACGTGAGAGACAGTAGAGGAAGGAGGCAAGGAGGTGAGACTGTGGGGCATGGCTTCTGGGAGGACGTTTTTAACCTGCTCCTTCCTTCCTTTTCAACTCATCGTGCGGCCATGGGCTCATCTTCTCCACTTATTCTCCAGCTTCTCTCTCACCCAACAGACTCTAAAAGATGCTGGTTCCAGTGGGGGTTGCTGACCAGATTAAGGGAGAGAGCTCTTGGGTTTGAAGTCTGGGAAGGCTGCTTGGAGGAAGGAGAGCTGGGGAGGCACGGGGCTGGGAAATAAATCTACTGGGGTTCTCCCCAAGCCTTAAACCCCCAGGCTGCCCAGCCCTGCTCTCTATAAACAGGGCTTCAGTACAGAGAAGGTTAATCACCAGCAAGGGAGCCTCTGGGAGCGAAGAAGCAACTGGTACAGTGGACAGGAGACCAGCTGCTCTCATCCACAGGGCTGGGTGCCTACCTGTCGAGGAGTGCTACTGCGTGGCTGGGTAGTATTCCTCACGCGGGGGTCATCATCCTGCACAATTTCCCCATTGGCCAAGATCCGAACCATCCTTCCAGGCTGCACCTTTCCCCAGGCCTCCAAACACCTGAAGGAAAACATTCACCAAAGAGATGCTTGCTTTCAGTGAGGAAAACTGCAATTCTGGGTGCTCACGTTGGTGACCCAGGCTGAGCAGATGGTGTGTCTAGTTAATAAAAAGAAGAGAAACAGATACTAGCTGTTTGAAAGAGCCCACGAGGAAAACTATCAAAAGGACCCTTGGAGGGACTTCCCTGGCAGCCCAGTGGTTAAGACTCCTCACTTTCAATGTAGGGGGCATGTGTTAAGTTCCCACTTGCTGCAGGGCAAAAAAAAAAAAAAAAAGATCCTTGGAGAAGGAAGTTTTATTATCAATCACCACCGCCAGCAACAAAGGAGATGTCAACCCTTGCTCATCAAGTCCACCCAGGCTCATCTCACTCACACCTCCCAACAGTCTTCTAGGGCTGCAACAGCTAGCGACCCAGAGGGGCTTACCTCACTCACAGAGGACCACCCATTCATGGGCGGCAGAGAAAGAGCATGAAACCAAGAACTCTGGCCCAAGGTCCCTCTCTGCTTACTAAGTATGGAGTTCAGTGTCTCCATTTCCCTTCCGGTAAACAATGGTCCAGTGTGCTGTTCCCTCGGGGAGATGCTAGGGACTCAGGCCCTCTGCCTGCAGGAGACAGGGCCCACTTCAGAGCTGCTTTCCTGCACAGGGCTTACCCTCAGCTGTCCCTCTCAGGTAACACCAGGAGGGCGGGGCCGCCTTCCCGAAATACAGGATGGGGGGATGCTGCTGCGGATCTGGGAGGGGAAGGGGGGAAGGGAGAAAAGGAGGGGGTAGGGCCCCAAGGGAGTCCATGGCTGGAGGTGGGGGTCCTTCCACGCTTCTCCCCGAGTCTGGGTAAAGGCTATTATTTCTCAGAATATGAGCCACAGTTTTCGTCTAAATTTTCAAAAGCACTCGTGACACAGACGCCAAAAGGGGTTAAGAGCCCTTGTTCCCTTGCCCAAGGCATGGACAGGCAGATCCCCTTTTTGAAGCCTTCTGGCCCGTGCAAATAACCAAGAGGGCCCAAGGGTCCTCCGCAGTCCCTTTGTGCTTTGCCCTCCCGCCCGCTGGGTGGGCTGAGGGTGCGGCGGGCCCTTCCAGCGCCTGACACCAAGGGAGGTGGGGGTGGGGAACGGGGACGGCAGGGCGCGCCGCCGGGGTGGGAGGGGCCGCTGCCCGGGCCGCGGAGCCCGACTCCGAGACCAGGCCCAGGGGAAGGGCGGCATGCACCCTCGCTCCCCCGCGCCCAGGGCCTCGGACACTCACCTGCGGGCGCGGCTCCCGGGCCTCGGCGGCGTCCACTCCCCGCGGCTCCCAGGCCGCTTCCTCCCACCTGACCTCACAGGAAGCGCGCGCCGCAGCCGCACGGCCCCGCAGGTGGCGCGGCAGCTCCCTCTGCAGGCCTCTGGGGGAACTGCAGCTACCGGGACCCAGGCGGCGCAAGAAGCGGGAGGAGGGAGAAACACCCGACAGAAGTGGAACCGAAAGAGGACCGGGTGCACCTCGGGGCTGGGAGAGAGGGAGACGAGTGCGGAGGAGGAAGGGAAGCAGAGACAAGGGAGAAGAAGCGGAGGAGGAAAAGCTAGGATGTGGGGGAGCCTCTGACCTGGGTGGCACAGGCTCAGCCCGCCGGTATGAGCTGCTGAGCCTTTAAGTAGGACCCACCCTTGCCCTCAAGGAAGTCCAACCCCACTTCAAGTGTGGAACTTCTGGAAATGAAAGGCAAAGAAGAAAGTGAAGGCAAAGGCTTAGTCGTGTCCGACTCTTTGCGACCCCATGGACTATATGGTCCATGGAGTTCTCCAGGCCCAGAATACTGGAGGGGGTAGCCTTTCCCTTCTCCAGGGGATCATCCCAATCCAGGGATTGAACCCAGGTCTCCCGTATTACAGGCGGATTCTTTACCAGCTGAGCCACAAAAGAAGCCCGAGAATATTGGAGTGGGTAGCCTACCCCGTCTACAGCAGATATTCCCAATCCAGGAATCAAACCGGGGTCTCTTGCATTGCAGGCAGATTCTTTACCAACTGAGCTCTCAGGGAAGCCCTGGCAAAGGAGAAAAGGGAAGATATATCTATCTGAATACAGAGCTCCAGAGAATAGCAAGGAGAGATAAGAAAGCCTTCCTCAGTGATCAGTGCAAAGAAATAGAGGAAAGCAATAGAACAGGAAAGACTAGAGATCTCTTCAAGAAAATTAGAGGTACCAAGGGAGCATTCCATATAAAGATGGGCACGATAAAGGACCGAAATGGTATGGACCTAACAGAAGCAAAAGATATTAAGAAGAGGTGGCAAGAACAGACAGAAGAACTATACAAAAAAGATCTTCATGACCCAGATAACCACGATGGTGTGATCACTCACCTAGAGCCAGATATCCTGGAGTGTGAAGTCAAGTGGGCCTTAGGAAGCATTACCATGAACAAAGTTAGTGAAGGTGATGGAATTCCAGCTGAGCTATTTTAAAATCCTAAAAGATGGTGCTGTTAAAGTACTGTACCCAACATGCCAGCAAATTTGGAAAACTCAGCAGTGGCCACAAGACTGGAAAAGGTCAGTTTTCATTCCAATCCCAGAGAAGGGCAATGCCAGTGAATGTTCAAACTACCACACAATTGCACTCATCTCACATGCTAGCAAAGTAATGCTCAAAATTCTTCAACAGTACACAAACCGAGAACTTCCAGATGTTCAAGCTGGATTTAGAAAAGGCAGAGGAACCAGAGATCAAATTGCCAATATCTGATAGATCATAGTGAGTTCCAGAAAAAGCAAAAGAGTTCCAGAAAAACATCTACTTCTGCTTCATTGACTATGCTAAACCCTTTGACTGTGGATCATAACAAACTGTGGAAAATTCATAAAGAGTGGGAATACCAGACCACCTTACTTGCCTCCTGAGAAATCTGTATGCAGGTCAAGAAGCAACAGTTAGAACCAGACATGGAACAACAGACTGGTTGAAAATTGGGAAAGGAGTACATCAAGGCTGTATATTGTCACTTTGCTTATTTAACTTATATGCAGATGGACTGGATGAAGCACCAGCTGGAATCAAGATTTCTGGGAGAAATATCAATAACCTCAGATATGCAAGAGACACCACCCTTATGGCAGAAAACAAAGAAGAACTATAGAGCCTCTTGATGAAGATGAAAGAGGAGAGTGAAAAAGCTGACTTAAAACTCAACATTTAAAAAAAAACTAAGATCATGGCATCTGGTCCCATAAGTTCATGGCAAGTAGATGGGTAAACAGTGAGAGACTTTATTTTCTTGGGCTCCAAAATCACTGCAGATGGTGACTACATCCATGAAATTAAAAGAGGCTTGCTTCTTGGAAGAAAACTATGACAAACCTGGACAGCATATTAAAAAGCAGAGACATCACTTTGCTGACAAAGGTTCGTCTAGTCAAAGCTATGGTTTTTCCACTAGTCATGTATGGATGTGAGAGTTGGACCATAAAGAAAGCTGAGCACTGAAAAATTGATGCTTTTGAACTGTGGTGTTGGAGAAGACTCTTGAGAGTCACTTGGACAGCAAGAAGGTCAAACCAGTCAATCCTAAAAGAAATCAACCCTGAATATTCATTGGAAGGACTGATGCTGAAGCTGAAGCTCTAATACTGGCCACCTGATGTGAAGAACTGACTCATTAGAAAAGACCCTGATGCTGAGAAAGATTGAAGGCAGGAGGAGAAGGGGATGACAGAGAATGAGATAGTTGGATGGCATCACTGACTCGATGGACATGAGTTTGAGCAAGCTCTGGGAGTTAGTGATGAACAGGGAAGCCTGGTGTGCTACAATCCCAGGGGTCACAAAGAGTCGGACATGACTGAGCAACTGAACTGAACAGCCCTGTGCTCAAGGAACTCCAACTCCACTTCCAGTGGGGAAGACGAGGCATGCAACGCAGGACAAGTGCAACTAACTGTAATGTGAAGGAAGAAGGCAGGCTTCCTAGAGGAGGTGGTCTTTGAACAGGAACCAGAACGGTAGGTAGGAGTTTACCTGTCAGGCAAATAGGGAAGGGCAGCTGGCAAAAAAGTGAACGATCAACCTCTGCCTCTTTCCCAATGTTTTCAGTCCCTGCCCAGCCTAAGCTTCTCCCAATGGACCGGTTCACCAGTGGAAGACAGTGAACTCTGCAGTCCTACAGGGTGAGTCAGACTCTGGCAAGTTACTAAACTGCTCAGTTTCCTTATCTGCAAAATGGGGCTAATCAGAGCAGTTGCCTTCAGTATTGCTCTGAAGATTAAGAAGAGCTTAATTAAGATTAATTAAGAAGATTAAGAATTGAGAGTCTCTGGCACATGGCAAGTGTTGATAACTATTTGTTATGATCATCAATCAGTAGATGTTTCTGGGAGCGGATGTATATAATGTTAGTTGTTCAGTCTTCTCCGACTCTTTGTGAACCCCATGAACTGTAGCCCTCCAGGTTCCTCTGTCCATGGAGTTCTCCAGGCAAGAATATTGGAGTGGGTTGCCATTTCTGGGAGCAGACATATGCAAGGACATATATAAGGACCTAGATGCTCACTGGCCCCTAGGTTGAGGAAGAGAAAGAAGGCTGAGACTTAGACCTTGCTTCAAGGGCTCATCTTCTGCCAATATGATTTAATTATTTGATTATGAAAACTTATCAAGGGACTTCCTGGTAGTCCAGTGCTTAAGATTTCACCTTCCAATGCAGGAGGTGAGGGCTCCGACCCCTGGTCAAGTAGCTAGGATCCCACATGCCTCATGGCTAAAAAAACCAAACATAAAACAGAAGCAATATTGTAACAAATTCAATAAAGACTTTAAAAATCTTTAAGAAAAAAAGAAAACTTAGTAAAAAAATTGTTGAACAGGCCCCCTAGTATCTGTATATTGTTTGTGTATTATTTATTTGTTTATAAGTTATACATGCGTGCTATGAGAGCAGATTGGTATTGTTGATAAAATGTGGATGCTAGAGCCA